AAAAATAACGAGGAAGAGGGAAAACAGTTGTTAACTTGGACAGTGAAAGACAAAAAACTCTTTCAACTGATTAACCAGCAGAGTAACAAAGTACAAATACTTTGTTACCTGAAGTAGAAATGTTGTCTATCTATACTTTAGTAATTATTTTTAGAAAAATTTCTTCTCCTTACATTTTAAAAATAGACTAACTAGTTTAGTTTCATTTAAGCTCATCTTCATTCTGGCCTGTTGGAATTTAAATAAAACAAAAACTTCCAAAAATAATTAGTTTCATCCACATAATTAATTTCTCGGTGCTGCCCCAACCTGTTGCTCACTACAAACAAAATAAATAGTTTTTCCAGATGATGCAAAGTTAAATGTGACGCTGTTAACATTAGTTATAAAACTAAGGAAATAAAGTCTAAGGAAGTTTTCATCCAGAATTATAGAAAAATGTTCCTTTAATAGAGCAGAGCAGTAAAGCTTCTGGCCTTAACAGTTTTACCCGCGTTACTTTTATACTTTAAGTAGTTTTAAAAATTGTACTTTTGATCTTCTAACTTCTAAAAAGTGTTTTTAAACAGCAGGATTTATACTGGAGGAATAAACACTTTGATGACAGAAGCTCAACACAAAACTAAAGTTAAAGGTGATTCTATATATTCTATATCATTAAGTTTGAGTCTAAAAAGCAGCAAAATGATTCTTCATGGAAACTGAAGCTTCCTGACATCAGAATATTTTCCCATCTTTGATCCGTTCAGCCTTTCTGAGCCTCTGGCTGCAGCAGAAGCTCTTTTAGGATCATTTCTTTTAAAATCAAGCAGGAAAAACAGTTTTCTGCTCCAAATCAGATGACAAACACGCTGCGTCCTTTAAAACGTGCGTGACCCAGAACTGCGCACAAGCATGCGGGCTTAAAGTGCAGAGCATCTGTCGCTGGTCGGTCTGCAGGGTGACCCACATGGAGACCCCACGATCACCCACGTCAGGGGAGCATCCGACAGGGGGGGGGACGGAGGGAGTGGGTGAGGGGGGTGAGGGAGGGACTCACCAGTAAAGCAGAGATAACCCATCCAGGCGCTCAGGTCCCTGTGGGAGGAATGGCATCGCAGCCCGGAGTGACACAGACCAAATTTCTGTCCACGCACATAAAAACCCGCTCCGCTTCTCACGCACAGACACGCAGGCTGTCCTCAGAGGAGGGGGGCAGCAGCGGCGCTTCAACCCGAGCGGAGCGCACAGCCATGGAAATCCACCCCGACATGGAGAGACGCGCTTTCCTTCCCTCTAATCCAGCCTGATACCCGTCCGTCACTGAGATGGCCCTGCGCGCGCCCCGCACGCGCCGCACGCGCGCAAGCAGAGCTCAGAGGACGCGGTTTAAAGCAGAGAAGCTGCGGGAGCGCAAAGAGCTTAAACGTCTTTAAAGCGAAGCTGCAGTCAGCAAACTCAGACTGTGTCTCCCACCGAGGAGCCGCTGAGCACCGCTGATGGGATTAACTGCAGGGAATGAGGCTCATTATGCCAGATTAGGGCTCCTTATGAACAAACAGCTGCTGAACCAGGAACCTCAGGATGTCAGCAGCTGGATGAGCCTCACCTGCGGAAAAAGGTGGAAAGTCTAAAAGCAGAAATACTTCATTACATCACTGGAAAGGTTGGCTCTCTATACTCTACTGGAATAATTACTTTTACAAACTTTCTACTCCTTAGATTTTAAAAATAGACTCACTAGTTTTGCTTCATTTAAGCTCATTTTCATCTGGACTGTTGGTATTTAAAATAAAAACATCAAAATAATTAGTTTCATCCAGACAGTTAATTTATCTGTGTTTGGACTCGGTGCTGCCCCAACTTGTTGCTCACCACAAACCAAAATAAATAGTTTTTTAAGATGATGCAAAGTTAAAAGTGACGCTGTTACCATTTCAATCTGAAAGATTCATTGATACAATTACTGTGTCTTTGGCGCTCAGACCACGGCAGGAAAC